GGTAGTGAGGTTGGCCCAGGATTGGACATTGTTTCGTTCTGCTGTGCATGGGGTCGCTATGAGTCGGTTCCGACTCGATGGCACCTGACAACAACAACAAAGGAGCTCTGGTAACGTAGTGGTTACGAGTCGGGCTGCGAACCGCAAGGTCAGCAGTTCAAAACTACCAGCTGTTCTGCAGGAGAAAGATGAGGCTTTCTGCTCCCGTAAAGACTTACAGCCTTGGAAACCCTGTGCAGGGTCGGTGTGAGTCAGAATTGACTCCACAGCACACAACAACAACAACAACAAAGCTTTCTTGTAGGCAGTGGAATAGGCAGGAAGGTCCATAGTCTTAGAAGAGCATGAACATACTTCTAAGTACCATAAAAAGAACCAAATATGGGAAGGCCTTGAGAAAGAAAAAGCAGACAGGAGACTGCAGCCAAACAAGCAGCCAATGCCCCAACTGTAGGAATTAAAACTGCTGTTGTTGTTATGTGCCATTTAGTTGATTTCCACTTATAGCAACATTATGTACAACAGAATGAAACTTTGCCTGGTCCTGCATTGTCCTTACAATCTTTGCCAAGCTTGATTGAGCCCATTGCTGCTGACCCTGTGCCGATCCACCACATTGGGTCTTCATCTTTTTCGCTGACCTTCCACTTTACCTAGCATGATGTCCTTCTCCAAGGACTGGTCCTTGCTCATAACAAGCCCCAAGTATGAGAGACAGTCTTGCTATCCTGTATTCTAAAGAGCAGTCTGCCTGTACTTCTTTCAACACAGATTTGTTTGTTCTCATAGCAGTCCATGGTACTTTCAGTATTCTTCTTTAACCCTAACTCAAATGCACCAATTCTTCTATGGTCTTCCCTATTCATTGTCCAACTTTTACATGCATGTGAAACTACTGAAAGTACTATGACTTTGATCAGGTGCACTTTAGGCCTTAAACTGATACTTTTGCTCCTCAACACTTTAAAGAGGTCTTGTGCAGCAGATTTACCTAATGCAGTACATCATTTGATTTCTTGACTGCTGTTTCCATGAATGTTGATAGTGGATCCAAGCAAAATGAAGTCTTTGACAATTTCAGTATTTTCTTTCTTTATTATGATGTCATTTATTGGTTCAGTGGTGAGGACTTTTGTTTTCTTTACACTGAGTTGCCACCCATACTGAAGGCTGTGGTCTTTGATCGTCATCAGTATGTATTTTAAGTCCTTTTTGCATTCAGCAAGCCAGGTTGTATCTTCTGAATACTGCAGGTTGTTAATGAGTCTTCCTCCAGTCCTGGTACCATGTTCTTCTTCCTATAATCCAACTTCTTGGATCATTTGTTCTGCATACAGATTGAATAAGTATGGCGAAAGAATACAACCCTGGCATACACCTAACCTAATTTTAACATATTGGGTTTTCCTTTGTTCTGTTTGAACAACTGCCTCTTGGTCTAAGTGCTCCAGAATTAAGTATTCCGGAATACTCATTCTCCACAATGCTGGCCATAGCTTGTCATGATCCAAACAATCAAAATCTTTTGCATAGTCAATAAAACACAGTAAACATTTCTCTGGTATTCTCTGCTTTCAGCCAAGATCCATCTTACATCAGCAAAGATATTCCTTATTCCATGCCCTCTTATGAATCCAGTTTGAACCTCTGGCATTTTCCTGTCGAAGTATTGTTGCAGCCATTTTTGAATTATCTTTAGCAAAATTATACTTGCTTGTGATAATAATGATGTAGTCCAATGATTTATGCATTTCAGTGGGTCACCTTTCTTTGCAATGGACACAGATTTGGATCTCTTCCATTTAGTTGGGAGATAGCTATCTTCCAAATTTCTTGGCATAGTAAGTACCACATCAGTTTGTTGAAAGATTTCAATTTGTATTCCATCAATTCCTGGAGCCTTGTTCTTTGTGATTACCTTCAATCCACCTTGGATTTCTTCCTTCAGTTGAGCTCAAGCTTAACAATGAGGATGGCCAAGAACCCGGCAGTGTTTCCTTCTGTTCATAAGAAAACTATGAGTCAAAATCAACTCCAGGGCACCTAACAGCAACATTATTTTAGAATTGGTACTGAGCAACATTTGCATTGTTGTTATGGTTGTTAAGTGTCATCAAATCCATTCTGATTCACAGAGACCCTGAGAAGCAGCTGGTTAGTTTGAACTGCCAACCCGTTAGTTTAAACTGACCTTGGGGTCGAGTTCTTAACCTACAGCGCCATACCACTGGCTATTTTTGCTGTTTTGGTTTTTGTGTTTATGATAGTTTGTTTTCCTCAGGAAGTCTATGTCTTTGAGAATTTGCTTGTAGCAACTGTAGCTTTGCCAGCACTATTTTTTTTAGGAGCAAGGCCCTAAATTTTTAGGGATTGCTTTAACTGAGGAGCCAAGCTGCTGTTTTTCATCTCTATAGTCTGTGTATATTCTGTTATTTCTTGTATTTATATAATCTCTGGTTCTGCTTCCATAAAAGCAAAGTTCTCTGGTGTATTAAAATTTTAGTTGCAGTATTCCCTGAAATAACAATTAGACCGAAAATTCCTTGGCTTTGTCCAAATTCAAATCCCTGATTTCTGTCCCTTGCTTTCTCTCCTCAGGCACAAGGAAGTCTCTTCCACCATCTGTCTACATACAGTCTGGTTTACAGCATGGCAGCTATCATGTTGTGTGAGGCACAAGGTAAAAAAGATTCTCGATTCCCCTGCTTGGAGCTTAACAACACTATGTCCTTTGATGTAGAGACCTTTAATTTCTGTTTTTGTTCTCTGCTGGTTCCATTTGTCTGCAAGAATTGTTTAAACATGCACCCGCCTCTTGAGTGGTTCTTTCTACTTTCCACATTTCCATTTTCTGTGCCAAGGAACACTTTGTTATTTAGAAGCTGTCTCCATGAATGAACCAGACTTTAAAATACACTGTTGTTGTTAAGTACTATCGAATCAGTCAGTGTCAACTCATAGCAACTCTGTATAAGATTCCCAAGGAGTGGCTAGTGGGTTTAACCACTGACCTTGGATACGATAAGCAGTCCAGTGCTTATCCTATGGCACGACCACAGGACTCCTTTAAGGAAATAGTATCTATCTATATCTATCTATCTATCTATCTATCTATCTATCTATCTATCTATCTATCATAATATAGATAGATAGATAGATAGATAGATATGTAGATATATAGATATATATACATACATTCTCTCGTCCTCTAAATTCATATTATTTTCACTTATCAAAGTTGAAAAACTTCTAAAAATAATAATACCCTGCTTTTGTAATGGGAGTACTCAGAGAAGTATGAATAAATACAATCATTTTAGAAAGTAATTTGGTAGTAAGCCTTAAAATTGGATGTTCCCTAGTTTCAGGAAACTTTGAAAAATATACAGAAACAGAGATCATGTAGTTTCACTTCTCTCTTGTACAGATAATATGCCTGTGCCATCTACTTGTCTGCTGATGTCCCTCTTCTGTTCCCCTGGAGGCCTCCCCTCACTTTGCTGCTGGCCTTTATTATCTGCCGGGGGTGTCCATAGGGGCCAGTAATGCTAGTGAAAGAAGTCAGATTCCACACAGATCCACAACTCTGTTCTGTAGCACCCTTGAAAGGGTTTACAAATAAACTGGGGACATCTAAATGCAATGTCATACAAGCAAGCAAAGAATGATAAACTTTCCTCTAAAAGAGTTCTTCTAAAGTCAAAGAAAAAATCACCCAAAAACGTAATCCCCTAACTTTAGTCCATTTTTCACAGTCCATTTTAGAAACATCTCTGGTCTGTCGAATCTTGACAAACTTTCTGGAGGCTCCAACCTCAATAGCAGTTATTGTCTTCCAGAACTTTCTCCATTTTTCAAGAGCACACATCACTAAATTTGGAGTTATGAAATGCTCAGGATTCCTGTTTATATGTGGTGTTATGCCTGCTTTTACATTCCTAATATCATTGGGGGTGGGGGTTGTTTATATTACCTTCTATTTGTTTGTTTGTTTGTTTGCTTTAATTACATTTACTAATATTCTATCTAAATTATTAGCCTTTAAAAAAATCACACCAGATTTTTGTCCCTTTGATTAAATCTACACTTTGTGTATAAGTTCATTAACTTGTACCTTTATCTTTATTAATTCACTTCTATTTGGGATATGTTTGCATGTATGTATGATTCATTTTTCAACCTCTCTTAATTCTCAATAAATATGTTGTTGTTATGTGCCATGGAGTCAGTTCCAACTCATAGTGACCCAGTACAGGGTTTCCAAGGCTGTAAAACTTTATGGGAGAAGAAATCCTCGTCTTTCTCCCATGGAACAGCTGGCAGTTTTGAACTGCTGACCTTGAGGTTCGCAGCCCAATTTGTAACCACTACACTACCAGAGTTCCTTCTTAATAAATATAGTTGGGATTAAACATTTCCCTCTGAGAACTGCTGTACCTATTTCCACAAATTTTAACATATTAACTTTCATTGTCATTTCATGATTTCATTGTCCACTGTGATTCTGATTTAAGCAGAGTTAAAAGAAGTGTGTAAATTTCTATTCTGCTCCACTACTATTAAATATCAAACAAATATTTAAGCCTACATTTCTCTAGCAACATCTGGAATGTAGATACAAGTTCCTTTCTTCATTGTGTTCGCCATCTTTTCTTTTCTTTTCTTTTTAATGTTTTATTGTGAATTATGTGACAGTTTACATGGGAGAACATTAGTTTTACATTCATTCTATCGTATATCATCACATTGCCATGGTTACAATCCCCTCCTTGTATCATCAACCAACCAAAGGCTATACCCTGCAATCCTTCCCCCGTACCCCCCAGGTCTTCAGCACACAGTTGCTCTCCCTCTCTGGATCTAAAGTCTCCAGCT